GATCAGGTACTTATCTGTTTTATTGTCCTATACAGTATATATTGGCATCTCATATTTTGTGAACATAAATGCCAGGTTGACTCAAGAGATCTATGGATCAAGTGTTGTTTGTAACCGGCGCTGAATGCCTCAAATTGCGTTAAAGTTTCATCTTGGCAGCAAAGCCTTTTGCCGTCTTCCAATAACCCTGACGCACTGGGAGACACCAGGCACTGGGTTTTTGGAGCAACTCTAATCATAGAATGGTTAGAGTTGGAAGGGAACATAAAGATCATCCAGTTCCAACCCCCCTGCCCTGGGCAGGGACACCTCCCACCAGACCAGGTTGCTCCAAGCCCCATCCAGCCTGGCCTTGAACCCCTCCAGGGATGGGGTAGCCACAGCTTCTCTGGGCAACCTGTTCCAATGCCTCACCACCCTCACAGGAAAGAATTTCTTTCTGGTATCTGATCTAAATCTCCCCTCTTCCAATTTAAACCCATTACCCCTTGTCCTGTCACTACCCTTCCTGACAAAGAGTCCCTCCCCAGCTCTCCTGGAGCTCCCTTCAGATATTGGAAGGCTGGTCTAAGGTCTCCCTGGAGTCTTCTCTTCTCCAGGCTGAACAACCCCAACTCTCTCAGCCTGTCTCCATAGGAGAGGTGCTCCAGCCCTCTCATCACCCAGTAAGAAACAGTCAAATGTTAAGGTTGCCTCTGGCAACTGTTCACGTTTGAGGGACAAATTACTGCTTTAGCTTATTTTGAGAGTTTATCCTGGCTTTCACTGAATTTCACTGAATTTTTAGAGTTGGAAGGGACCATAGAGATCATCTAGTCCAACTCCCCTGCTAAAGCAGGACCACCCAGAGCTTGTGAGAGCATGTTACTCAGGAGCATCCAGGTGGGTCTTGAAAATCTCCAAAGAAGGGGACTCCACAACCTCCCTGGGCAGCCTGTTCCAGGGCTCCGTCACCCTCACCGTGAAAAAGTTCTTCCTCATATTCAAGTGGAACCCTTTATGTCCCAACTTGTGCCCATTGCCCCTTGTCCTCTCACTGGCAACTACTGAAAAGAGTCTGGTTCCCTCCTCCCTCAGCCTGCCCTTGAGATACTTGTAGGCATTAATAAGGTCCCTGTCCCAGCTCTGTCCCCTGCAGCCCGAGGAAAGGAGCAAGGGTTCCCTGTCCAGCTGTGTCCTTTGCTGTCATCCCTCTCCTGCATCCAGATGTTTTGGCATCTGCGCCCAGGACGGGAAGAGACACCATGGGACGGGCCAGTCCTCAACCTCACGGGGCCTGGCGACAAGCTCCCTTTTGGGCAGGAAGGGGCTCATCTCCCTGCCCCCTTCCTTCCCAAAGTTAGGCAAGGAAGGAGCTGGAAGCTCACCACAGTCAGCTCCTGCCAGAAACAGGCCTGAGCCTGCCTGCCACCCAGGAGCACCTGCCAGCTACGCACGTCTCTTAACGAGGTGTGGTTTGCTTTGGGTTTTATTTCCAGGCTCACCTCTGGGGCTGTTGTTTCTTTCCCCAGAGCTGCTTCCTGCCGTGGCACAGGGCCTGCCGCTCTCCACCACTGGGGACGACAGGTTGTTAGCAAAGGGGACACCGCTCCGTGTTATTAATGCAGCGGGAGGCTTCCTGAGCACCAGAAAACAACAGGCTGTTACAGAGATACAACTGCACTTTTCCCAGCTGGATCCAAGTGCACAGATGCAGCTGCTGTGCTGTCAGTGACAACAAACAGCTCTCCTCCCTGTGCTGGTAAATCTCAGACATGTGTGGATGGGGTGTGTGGATGGGGTATGTCCATCCCGCCCCCATTCTGCAAGGACAGTCACCTGCAAAGGACAGGCTGTTGTTTAACCCTTCAGACCCTCCACAGCTTCCTTCCTCATGGATAAAGATCAAGATTTATCTATCTCAGGAGGACAGAGAAAGCCAAGATGACGTTTGCTGGAGTCGAGCAGGTTAGGAGATACGATGACGTTGGTTTGTTATCTCAGGAGGACAGAGAAAGCCAAGACGACGTTTGCTGGAGTCAAGCAGGTTAGGAGATACGATGACGTTGGTTTAATAAAGGCTGAACATGCCACTATTCAAATCACCGTGATGGTGCTTCACCCTGTGACACATCAGCTTGCCCCAGATGACAGGCAGCAAATATTTGGACCAACAGAGCTGAGAGATTTCACAATTCACCATCCGGTGTGGTGCTGACCTCTTTGTACCTCTGGTACAAATTACAAAAAACATTAGTAGCAAAGATAAAGATTTAACCCTCCATAAATAAAGCAGAAAAAAAAAATAGAAAAAAATCCCAATTTAAAACATCCTGTGTGTCCAGGAGCTACAGAGGGAATGAACCACCGAAGCAGAGATGTGTGAAACCTGAAAACTGAAGAAACTCCTTGGGAGACAGGGATAACTTTCTTAGAAGTGTTTTCAGCCCAAATGTAAAACTTACCTGAGCAGAAGTTCTTCTCTCTAGATGAGGTAAGAGGTGTGGAAAATGCCCCTGTTGCCACCAGCACTCAAATTAGTCCCTCTTGTCCGGCCACCATCGCTCAGCTGAACGGCACAGACATCTCGGTGCTTTTACTTCACCCGGTGAGCGGGGACGAGGGGAAACCACCCACCTGCAGGAAGCAAAGAGAGGGAGACATGAGATGAGAAACGCCACCAAAATTTCAGATGGGCTGCTGGGACGCCGCTCTTGATGGCTGTTTTCTACGACTGTCGCCAACCAGATTTTTGCGTCTCCGTGCCACCATGTCCTTTTATGATGAAGTTCCCTCAAAGAATAACTCGCTCGCTTTAATCATGTTTGCTCTGAGATTTATGGCTTGATGCTTATTCACCAGCGGAGCTTCTCGATGCGAAATGTCAGTAAGCCTGTTATAAATCGCTCCTGGCATCCCTGCTCTATCTTTTATTTGGCCAGGAGTATTTCTACCTGAAAGTGATAAATTCCTGCTATAACTGCTTTATGTGCTTCAGTAATTACACTGTAAGGGGAAGGTGGGGGCTATGTCTATGAAGGTACCACCTCAAAACCAGCAACCTGTAAAAAGCTGGAGATTGGGCTGAACCCTGAGGTGCTACTGGATGCACAGGCTGAGGAACAATCCACCCTTGAAACTCAAAGTAACAGCGACTGGTGAAGTATCTCCATCAGGCTGAAGCTCATGAATGGGTGAAAGAGAGAGAAAAAAAATTAAATTTTTAAAGTTGAGGGTGGAAAGGCATTGGCTGGGGGGGCTCTCTGCCTGAGCTAAGTGCTGGGCCTGAGGGGAAGAGGCCCTCAGCACCTTGCCACAGCGCCCACCTGACTGCTTCTGGCCTCCTTTTGGTAGATGTTTGTGCTGCCTTAGATGTATTTATTATATATAGATATTGGAAAGATGTATGTAGATGCATCAAGTTTGAGTATTTGATCGATTTCATAGAATAGATTGGGTTGCAAGGGATCTTTAAAGGTCACCTAAAAGGTCATTGCCCTGCAATCTTCAAATAGATCAGGTTGCTCAGAACTGCATCCAACCTGAAAATTTCCAGGGATGGGGCATCTACCACCTCTCTGAGAAACCTGTCCAGTGTTTCACCAGCCTCAGCGTAAAAAATGTCTTCCTTAAATCTAAAATAAAACTACCATCTTTTAAAGCCACAACAGGCCCTGCTAAAAAGTTCATCCCCAGCTCTCCCGTAGGCCCCCTTTAGGTACTGAAGGCCGCTATAAGGTCTCCCCAGAGCCTTCTCCTTCCAGGCCAAACAACCCCAACTCTCTCAGCCTGTCCTCATAGGAGAGGTGTTCCAGCCCCCTCATCTTCATGGCCCTCCTCTGGACTCAACCCGTTCATCCCTCACCCTGTATTAATACCAGGGGTTGCCCCAACCCACATGCAGGACCTTGCACTTGGCCTTGCTGGACCTCATAAGGTTCATACGGGCCCACTTCTCCAGCCTGCCCAGGTCCCTCTGGATGAAATCCCATCCCTCAGGCATGTCAACTGCACCACTCAGCTTGGTGGTGTTGGCAAACTTGCTGAGGGTGCACTCAATCCCACTGTCTATGTCATTGAGGAAGACATTGAACTGTACAGTCCCAATATCATAGAACGGTTAGAGTTGGAAAGGGACCTTAGAGATCGTCGAGTTCCAACCCCCCTGCCATGGGCAGGGACACTTCGCACTAGAGCAGGTTGCTCAAAAATATGGACCCCTGAGGGACATGACTTGTCGCCAATCTTTATCTGGACACTGAGCTGTTGACCACCACCATCTGGATGCGACCGTCCAGCCAGTTCCTCATCCACCAAGCAGCCCACCCATCAAATCCACATCTCTCCCAATTTAGAGAGAATCGCATTGTGGGGGACTGTGCCAGAGGCCTCACAGAAGTCCAAACAGACATCAGTAGCTCTTTCCTGTCCACTGATGTAGTCAGTCCACCATAGAAGGCCACAAGATTGGTCAGGTAGGACTTGCCCTTGGTGAAGCTGCGCTGGCTGTCTCGAATCACCTCCATGTGCCTTAGCATAGCTGAAGGAAGATCTGTTCCACGATCTTCTCAGGCACAGAGATGAGACTGACAGGCTGGGAGTTCCTAGGGTCCTCCTTTTTAAAAATGGCTGCAACATTTCCCTTTTTCCAGTCACCAGGGGCTTCACCTGAGCACCACAGGGGCTTTCAACCTACTCGTGGCTATTCTTCAGAGACAGCTCTTCACAGTCTGCCCATTTATGGATGTAGACGGCAAGGCCATCACCCCTTCTTCCTCGCCTGTCCCCTGTAGCCACGGGTAGCCGATTTGGGTGCCGTTGAAGGCGTCTCAACCCTGTGCCTCAGCCTGGCCGGCAGCCAGCCCGCCATTTTCCTCAGCCCTCCCCTCACGGCTGGCCCCGCCCCTCTCCCGGACGGGGGCGCATGCGTAATGGCGGCGGCGAAGGGAAGGCGCGCAGCCCTCGGCGCTTGCGCAGCGGAGGCGGGCGGGGGATTCGGATCCTTACCGGCGGCCGGGAGCCATGCGGGAAGCGCTGCGCGGCCGCTCGGGCAACCGGCCGGCTCCGGGCGGCGAGTCCCTCACCACCGTATCCTCCATGGAGTCGCCCGGCCCACCCTGGGTCCATACCCGCGCCGCGCTGGCGCGGCTGGAGAGGGCGCTGAGCTGCTCCCGCTGGTAACTGCCCCCCCCCTCCCCTTCCCTCCCTTTCACCTTTCCTCCCCCAGCGGAGCCGCCGCGGGCGCTCTTCTGCCCGAAAAGCCGCCTGTGTTTAAAAACTGTCGCCTTTCTCCTTGCTCTGCCCACAGCGCCGGCGTTTTGCGGGAGCCCGTGTCCCTGGGGCAGTGCGAGCACGTCTTTTGCCTGTAAGTAGCCCGGTGTGCCGGGGCTCGACGCCCCCCCCCCGCGAGCCACCGCCGCCATTTTGTGGCCCGCCCGGCGCTCGTAGGGGCCGTCTCGAGGCCCCCGCCCTCCTTTGTTGGCTGCCGGGCTGTGGGGAAATGGCCGGCGCCTCAGGGGGAGGTGGGCACGCTTTGGAAAGCGGGAGCTCCCCTCCCGTCCCCCCACACCTCCCCAGGTCCATCCAAACATCTTGGGGTAGCATGAGGACCTCCGTTTACAGTTTGTCAAATAATCTGAGGTAAGTTAGAAACGTCCTGCTAGTGAGGCAGCTCTGAGGAGGTGGTCGTTACTCGGCCTGTCTTAGGACAACTCGCTGCGTCGTTGGTGCAGGTAGAATCCGAAAGGTTGTTGTCCCAGAACCTCGTTTAGGGAAGGTGGTGGAACCTTCTGGTTGTCCTGTGTGTCACTGCTGTTCATGGAATGCAAATGCAGACACAGAATCCCATGGGGTTGGAAGGGACCTCTGGAGATCATCTACTCCAACCCCCCTGCCAAAGCAGGGCCACCCAGAGCAGGTCCCACGGGAACGTGTCCAGGTGGGTTTGGAATGTCTCCAGAGAAGGAGGCTTCCCCCATCTCTCTGGGCAGCCTCTTCCAGGGCTCTGCCACCCTCACAGGAAAGAGGTTCCTCCTCATGTTGAGGTGGAACTTCTTCTATTCAAGTTTGTGCCCATTTCCTCTTGTCCTGTCCCTGGGCACCACTGAAAAAAGACCATCCCCATCCTCTTGACACCCTCCCTGACCTGTTGGTCACACTCTTCCTGATGGCACCCCAGGATGCCATTGACCTTATTGGCCACAAGACTACATTATTGGCTCGTGGTCATCCTGTTGTCTACCAGGACTCCTAGATCTTTCTCCTCAGGGAGACACGGGGAGTTAAAAAGTCACTCATTTATCTTAAAGGGTTTATCTGCACATGTGGTATCTAGTAAAATCTTATGCTTGTTACAGTGGAGAGGATAGACACTTTCTAACCTTTGCTTGTTAGCCAGGCTAGATACTCAGCTTCACCTCTTAATACTGCAGTCACTATGTCAATAAAAGCAGAGGAAAATTCACCCTCCCACCCTCCTTCATGGCTGTGTATTTACTCCCTGTCTTCCACTGCAGCTTTCTAATGGGAGCTTAAAATGTTGAAGGCCTGGAGTGTAAAATACTAGCAAAAGATTTTCTTTGTTTTTAAGAAGTAACTGTTTATGGGACAGATCCCCTCAGCATCTATGTTACCAGTATGGATGTATTAGAAGATGTACATGTGACTTACTTCTATCCAGGTGTGTGGGTTCTTTCCCAGCTTTGACTATGAATTGCTGTATTCTGAATTGCTGAATTCTGCCATCTGAAGCAAATTTTTTATTACTTGTTCCATTTTTATTTCCTGTCCACTGAGTACTTGGGAAAATAACCCTCAGAAGCTTGTACAACTTATTTATAAATCTCATAGAATCATAGAATGGTTTGAGTTGGAAGGGACCAAGTGGTGGAGTTCAAACATGCAGTTTGTTGAAGCACTTTTTTTTTTTATGAAAAATGTTCAAGACATCAGAAGGTGATGCAGTTTGCATTGATGAGACTTAAAAAAATAGCAAATAGGGGTCTTAAGCATTCATTAGCAGCTATTTCTTATTCCAGAAAAAGAGTTTATTTGCTATTTCTCAAGTTATTGTTGTACCTGATCTTTTCTCCTTTGTGTGCCCAGACTTTTAGTCATTAATTTAACGTGTCCTTTGATAACTGAGTCTTGGATAGTGGCTGTTTTTTAAAATAAAATTCAGAAATGTTAGATTAATTTGTTTACAGGCAAATTTGGAAGGGCATGGATTGAATCTGCAGTATTCTGATATGAAGTGGTTTTGACCCATTGCTAAGAGAGACCTTTAATAGATGGATAGGCTGGAGAGGTGTGCCCAGGTGAACCTCATGAGGTTTAACAAGATCAACTGCAAGGTTCTGCACCTGGGCCGGAACAATCCTTGCCACCAATACAAACTAGGGGGTGAGGTATTGGAAAGCAGCCCTGAGGAAAGGGACTTGGGGGTGCTGGTGGATGAGAAGCTGGACATGAGCAGGCAGTGTGCAGCTGCAGCCCAGAAGGCCAATCCCATCCTGGGCTGCATCAAAAGATGCATTGCCAGCAGGTCCAGAGAGGGGATTCTGCCACTTTACTCTGCTCTGGTGAGACCTCACCTGGAGTATTGTGTGCAGGTCTGGAGCCCTCAATATAAGAAGGACATGGACCTGATGGAGAGGGTCCAGAGGAGGGCCACAAGGATGATCAGGGGGATGGAGCACCTCTGCTCCGAGGACAGGCTGAGGGAGCTGGGGTTGTTCAGCCTGGAGAAGAGGAGGCTCCGGGGAGACCTAATGGGAGCCTACAGGAGAACTGGGGAGAGCCTGTTTAGAAAGGCCTGCAGTGACAGGACGAGGGGCAATGGCTTCAAGCTGGAGGGGAACAGATTTAGACTGGAGATGAGGAGAGGGTTCTTCACTGTGAGGGTGGTGGAGCACTGGAACAGGTTGCCCAGGGAGGTGGTTGAGGCCCCTTCCCTGGAGATATTCAAGGAGAGGCTCGATGAGGCCCTGGGCAACCTGGTCTAGTTGGGGGTGTCCCTGCTGACTGCGGGGAGGTCGGACTAGATGGCCTTTGGAGGTCCCTTCTGGCCTGGGCAATTCTATGATTCTATGATTCTATTAATATACCCGGGAAGAAGTGGGGTGAATGCTGGAGCTGGCTTCTGATATATGAAGTGAAATATGTGAAACTAATGAACTGCAGTAATCAGGTCACACATAATGTAACTGGTTCTCTCTCAGCATGGTTTTTATTATGGGCAAGAATATTTATTAAGATCAGTTTCTGCAGTTTTGTCTGAGGAACTACTAAGTTAGTTATAGTTAATGGATAATGACTGTAAAAACCCAACAGCTAGAAGTAATTAGGAAATGTCATGGTATAAACGTCATTCTGCATTTCCTTTGCACTACCTTTTACAGATGCGGGAGACCTGAGGCCAGCTCTCCTAGAGAACGAGACCTGGTGGTTCTTATCTTTGCTCCAAGTGATTTGTCAATGTCATGTAGAATATGTCAGAGCCAAGAATTGTACTTCAGTCTCCCAAACGTAGCGGTGTCTCAACCGCGAGGTCCTTTACCTGCTCAGAGCAGGCTCTTTAAAGCACAAAACACACGTAGCAGTCATTTTTATGTACCAAATTTCCTGTTTTGGAATTAACCCAAGACATGATACTTGTGTGGTGTTTGAGGGAGAGATGCCAGTGCAGAGAACCAATCTGAAAATAATTCTCCTCTTCAGGAAAGCGGTGGTAGTTATTCTTCTGGTATTGTTAGCTGATATGCTATTAGTTTTGGGGTGTATGACTCTCAGCTTCCAAGCTGACTATATTTTTAGAGTCTAGATGTATAGACTTCCATCTTTCTCTCCAGGCAGCAGTGCCTTGGTATTACTCTCGCTGGACTAATCACATGAATAAAAGATTTTAGGCTCATATGGGAAAAGCAGAAGTACTAAGAAGCTACAAGTGTTAAATCACCTTTCCTAAGTAAATCTGTTCCCCCGCCTACCTCACCTTGATCATCACCTGACATAAATGCCCTGAAAGAGAGAAGTGATGGAATACTCTGAATACCTGCAGATCCTCAGGGGAATTCTGACAGCAGAGCGTTCAGACAGGTGAAACTTCACAATATCAAGAAAATTTTAAGTAGGAAAAAGTGAAAATGATAGTTTACTATAGGCTGGCTTTCTGTCACGTTTAAAAATGAAAGCTGCAGAAGAATAGCCCTGTCTCTAGCTGAGGTATAACAGAATGTGGAGTTTTAACTGTTTGAACCTAATTGTTATCTGGAGGCAAACAGGAGTGGAGCTTTAGCATACCTTGAAAATTTGGATCAGCTTGTGAGAGTCACACGATACCACGTCTTTCATGTCAGTGTCCTGACAAGGCTCTGGACTTGGCTTGCTTAATTACAGCTTGTCACTTGCCACGTTAAATACCTCCTCTCCTGTGTTTCTGACTTAACTCGTGTGGGCTTTACAATAGCGGTCTGTCAAGGCTAAAATAAGAGTTTCTTGTTGAGCATTTACCTGTGAAAAGGTTGATGGTGAGGACAGCAGGTAACCTGTGCTGGATGATGGATTTTTACGTTTTTCCTTTCAGATCCTGCGTGGGTGACTGCGTTGGCACAGAGTGCCCGGTGTGCCACATGCCAGCCTGGGTGCAAGACACGCAGATAAACCGGCAGCTGGAGAACATGATTCAGCTTTGCAGCAAACTGCGGCACCTGCTGGGTGGGGACACCTCAGGTAAGAGCAAACCTGGGTGAACCTCTCAACTGGGGAATCCAGAAACGCCCCGTTTCGTTTCGGAGGCCTCACAGACAATGAGCGTTGCAGCCCTGTTTAAGATTCTGAAAGGCTATCCTGAATCATGTTTGGAAAATTTGATTTGAAGAGAACTGTCTGTATGGATCGCTCGTTCTTTGAATCTGTTTTACTAAGAAATCTGCATGAGTGGGTTAGTCCATAATTCATTAGAATCTGTCTTCCAAAATTAGATGAAAGTGTGATATATTCCCAAGTCACGTAGCTTGAACCAGGGGCACCAAGTTGTTATATTTTGTGCTTTTAGGGGAGCACAAATGTGTAATGTTACGCAGTGTACACTTTAGAGGACCCCTGTTAAAGGATGAATACATATATTCTCTTGCATCTTGTGTATTTGTGCATGGAGGTATGCGTGCTGTCCCAGTAATCATCAGTTTAGGGGTTTTGAACACCAAAAAAACTACCTGTATTCCTTGCCTAAAAGGGGAAGGGGGTAAGTCTTAACTAATTTATTTTCTGGTCTCTAACAATCAGAACAAGTTAGCTACAGCGGAATTTTGTCATTGCTGACTGTGGTAGCAGATTGCAAGATAGTACTCAGGGAATTAATCTCTTTAACAAATTTTAGGCTGATTGTCAAAGTAGGCAAAAATGCAGTGAAATGAGCGTAGGTGAGTGTGTGTCTTTTCTGCAAGCCCACAGAGGAGCATTTTATGTAATAACCAAGTTTTAGAAAACATTAATTTAGCTGTCAGATATAGAAAAGGTAATTCTTCCTTCATTGTTGCTTCCTAATATGTTTGTCTAAATTAAAAATTCTTTTTTTAAGTCTAATCCCATCGGCACCTTCATGTTCATTTATGGGGTAGCCCTTTATTGACATCAAAAGACATTGAAGTGAGGAGGCTGGAAACTCATGTCCAACTGTAAACATTTTATATAGATAAATCCTACAATGATTGAATCTTCTGTAGCACAGAAAGTGTAGCTGGTGGCTTAAACATGATTTCAGGGAAACATTTTAAGCGGTGAAGGCTTTTATAAACACGGTTAGAGGAGAATCTCCGAGAGGAGCTATTTGTAACGCATAAATAAAGCCTTTAAAATACAACATGGTAGTGTTATTGATAGTGTTTAGGCATTTTGGAGGACTCTTAGAGATGGATTAATGTTTCATACTGAGGTTAAGGGAAAAACCTCCTGAGTTGGTGATAGTTCACTTTCAGGAATGGTTTGGATATATAAATGAATGAGCACATCTCTAACAACAGGCGTTACGTGTTGTATTATGGCAAATCACAGGATGGTGTAGCTTTAGAAATTTTGAGGCAAAGCCTTTAGGATGTTTTGTCCGGCCAGTCTGTCACCTTCCATAGATGTATATCTTTAACTTAATGTATGCAAACTGAAATATGCTTGATTTTAGAGAATCGGGACCTCTCTCATTAAGGAGTTGCTTTCATGGCACTGTACTTCTGCCACTTTCCCATCAACAGTATTTTCTTTTCTTTTCTTTTTTGTTAGAAGGTGAAGGAACGTATTTTATATTCTAGTAAAGGAAACAGACTGAAAAATCAATCTTTCTGTGGAGAAAAGGAAAAGAAGCAGTTGAAAAAGGAATCTTTCTGTATATTTGTTTTATGTCTTTTGCATATTTGTTTTATATGCCTTGTTTTGAGACAGTCGTGGCTTGTCTCAAGGCTTCTGTTTGAGATCTTTGTTAACACTGAAGTTTCTAATGCAAAATCATCATAGTACCCATTTTTTTAATCTAGGACAGACTTAGTGAACACAGTAAATTGTGTGTGTTGTCTTTAAAAGCACAGAACTACTATGATTGAAGAGGGTAGGGTTAAGCTCACATGTTGAATAATTAAAGTATAAAAAAAAATCCCTGTACCCCCAGGTTTCGCTGGTGGATATGAGGAGAATACCACTTTGTACTGTAACTTTGCCAAAGTATGTCTGTGTTCTTAGAGGCAACAGCAAGTAATTCAGGAAAGAATGCACAAAACAGCTAATGTTTTCCTTTAAAACCTGAAACTGGCCAGAAAACACGAGCTGTAGGTAGCAAATGCTGAGTCTGGAAACTGAATCACTTGTTAGAGATGTTGTGTCTGCAGTCTGTGGCAAGGTGAGGGGAGCTGCCTGACCTTTTTCACTGCCTAGTGTTGTACCTTTATGAGGGTAATGAGAAGCTATCTTGGATGGCAGGCTTCAAAGACGGGATGTCTGCACCTCAAAGTCTTTAGCTCTAATGTTGCAGAGTCTGAGACATCTTGAGAATTGGAATTGGTGGAGTGATAGGGCCTCATAGGTGGGTAATAAGCAAGAACTTGTTGAATCATGGACATAGTCTATATAGTATACTAAAGTTGAAGAAGGTTTATTTACAATAATGACTTTGAAAGTGAATTTCTAAATACTTCAGCAGATTTTTCTGTGTTACGTTCTTTAAAAAGAAGAGATGGTTGTGAATTTTCCCAACAACCATTTAGAGATGATTTTACCTCATTCTTTGGAGCATAATCTGCTTCATTCTAACAGAGTGAAACAGAAAGTCGCCTCCCCCTCTTCTCATACAGAGCTTGCAGGTGTTGGTCAAAGCTTCCTAAGCTCCTGTTGGTGCTGGTGGACAGTAGGAGACATTAACTTTTGATTAGCCTTTATAGTATCATAATTTAGTTTCGCATTTACTGATGTGGAGGGAAGGACGTTGAACTCCTGTTGTAATAGATTACATTGCATTTCATGTATGCTGTAACATTTTTCATAATAGCTAAAGATGAGTTTTTGAATAGCTGGAATTTCTCCCTTTTTCCCCCTGTGTTGAATACTTAACTTGCAAAATAATCATTCTTCAGCGAAGGCACTAATGTTGCACAGATGGTACCAAAGCACTTCCCTTTGATTTTTAATAAGGGACTAGTTTGTCAAAGAGATTTCTCAACTTCTGTTCTGAAACCCATAATAGAGAATAATTTGAAAGGCACACAATGTGCATCATTATATTCCTTTGATGCAGATTAATGATAGCTAAACCACATTTTCTAATTGCTCCTTTTTTTTTTTCCTCCTGCTCTAGCCTGTTATTGCACTACAGCAGAACTTGGAGACGTAGCTCTCTAGTTGCAATGCACTGTGTGTCTCCTAATATTTTTGTCTACTCTCAACCCTTTTAATGCTTAAGAAATTCAACTCTATTAAATATCAGCATTAAGAAACTTGTGCTTATTATGTGCAAGTAAGTCTAATTTAGAAGGAATTCAGTTAATATATAGTGTATGTGAATGTTACATTTAATAGGTAATGGAGAGTAAGTTTGCTGCATTTATTATGAGTTAATTCTAATACTGTTATTGTGAATAGTCTTTTCAGTATTGCAAATGCTTAAAATCTAGAATTAGTAAGGCATGCTTTATTAATTTTTGGAAGGATACTTCTTGCGTATTAAAAAGACAATTAAATCTTAATGATATCTAGTAATTTTTTCATTCCAACTTCCAACTTGGAGACAGCAAAGAATTCATTTGGATCGATTTTTCCATGACCAGTTTTCTCTGAAGGTAGTTTAACTGAATGCTCTTAGCTACCAGGTATTACTCTTGTTATATAAATTAAGACTTACATATTAAACCACAAGATCTTCCTTTGAGTTTCTTAGTGTTGTGTCTACTCTCTCCTTCTCACAGCCCTGGGTCCATCAAAGGGTTAGAATTTTGGGGAGGACAGATTGGCCGCTTGTCCTTATTACTTGTACTCCCTACCTTGTGTTCTTTGGAAATGGAGAAAAGTAGTAGCAGATTCTTAAGAATGTTTTTTTGCAGATGCTATGCAGAAGTGTTCAGGTGAAGTTGATGTTAGCTACAGAGTGTTGCGGAGAAGGGCTGAGATATGACACAAACCCTGGCAGAAATGGTAGTTTCTTCCCAAGTAGGCTCTGGAGGTGCCCTGGGTGCACATGGGTGGCCTCTCCATGTGACAGATCTCTTCCACAGGATGTGTGGCCTGTTAATCATGATTATTATTAATTATGTTAATCATGTTCGGCGAGAGCCTTCATGTTCTAAAACATGCAGTGTACCCTTTTACACTTGAAGTAGTTGCATGTGAGTAAAAACAATCCTTGGAAAGTATTTACTTGGGGTATTCTCAGCAGGTTTTTAATAACCTGACTAGGAAGTCCCTGCTGAGCAAGTGGTAACGGACAGATCAGTTTAGGAACCCTTGTTGGTTCCTTTTGGAACCCTTTTCACAAGCTTTCTTGCTGCTAGAAGTGGTATATACATAGCTTCCAGTGAAAATACTTAATTGTGTTATGCAGCTTTAGATCCTGCTTCTGAAGGACAGCGCCTTTGATTGAATTTGTCACTTGGAATTCAGAGTCTTATTGTGCCATACACATCAAAAAGAATTCTGGACATCACAAAATTGTTGCACAAATTACTTTTGCGAGCTGATTTTAGTCTTGCTTTTTACTTGGAGATGACTGGTAGTTCTAGCAAGGTAAATATTTTAGAAGGAAATCTGCTAGTTGTATAAACAGTGAAGGCAAGACAAGTAAATAGTAACTGTGTTTTATATTTTGCATCTGTTTGCAATCAAGCTCTTTTTTTTTTTTTAGAAGTTATTGTCAGAATGAAATTGGATGTGGTATCTTTCTGAAGGCTGGCTAGTTATGAGATTTCAGTCTCCATTTCAGTCCTTTTTTTCCTCAGCCCAACAGGAAAACCAAATAGCTGCAGCTCTGTACTTGATGATTATCTTTAGATACCTAAATGATTGATTAGCTAGCCTCAAGGTGTATTTCTTAAAGACACTTTTGGTATGATGATTTGCATATCACTCTAGCTAAATCTCCTAATATCTAGCAGATTTTAATTCAAAGGTAATTTAAATCAGCATTTAACCTTGAAGTTGATGTTAGCTACAGAGTGTTGCGGAGAAGGGCTGAGATATGACACAAACCCTGGCAGAAATGGTAGTTTCTTCCCAAGTAGGCTCTGGAGGTGCCCTGGGTGCACATGGGTGGCCTCTCGATGTGACAGATCTCTTCCACAGGATGTGTGGCCTGTTAATCATGATTATTATTAATTATGTTAATCATGTTCGGCGAGAGCCTTCATGTTCTAAAACATGCAGTGTACCCTTTTACACTTGAAGTAGTTGCATGTGAGTAAAAACAATCCTTGGAAAGTATTTACTTGGGGTATTCTCAGCAGGTTTTTAATAACCTGACTAGGAAGTCCCTGCTGAGCAAGTGGTAACGGACAGATCAGTTTAGGAACCCTTGTTGGTTCCTTTTGGAACCCTTTTCACAAGCTTTCTTGCTGCTAGAAGTGGTATATACATAGCTTCCAGTGAAAATACTTAATTGTGTTATGCAGCTTTAGATCCTGCTTCTGAAGGACAGCGCCTTTGATTGAATTTGTCACTTGGAATTCAGAGTCTTATTGTGCCATACACATCAAAAAGAATTCTGGACATCACAAAATTGTTGCACAAATTACTTTTGCGAGCTGATTTTAGTCTTGCTTTTTACTTGGAGATGACTGGTAGTTCTAGCAAGGTAAATATTTTAGAAGGAAATCTGCTAGTTGTATAAACAGTGAAGGCAAGACAAGTAAATAGTAACTGTGTTTTATATTTTGCATCTGTTTGCAATCAAGCTCTTTTTTTTTTTTTAGAAGTTATTGTCAGAATGAAATTGGATGTGGTATCTTTCTGAAGGCTGGCTAGTTATGAGATTTCAGTCTCCATTTCAGTCCTTTTTTTCCTCAGCCCAACAGGAAAACCAAATAGCTGCAGCTCTGTACTTGATGATTATCTTTAGATACCTAAATGATTGATTAGCTAGCCTCAAGGTGTATTTCTTAAAGACACTTTTGGTATGATGATTTGCATATCACTCTAGCTAAATCTCCTAATATCTAGCAGATTTTAATTCAAAGGTAATTTAAATCAGCATTTAACCTTGAAATATTGCTTTAAAAGAAACTACAAATGTCTATTTTGATGTTGAATTACTAGCTATACAGTTCTAAGTGATATTTCAAACTTATTTTTTTGTGGCTAAGGGATTGGGGCCAGTCTATCTGCTATCTGGGAGTTTATCACAGCTTGCTGTGGAAAACAGGCTATAGTTAGTAACACCAAAAAAATAGCAGAGAAGGTATGGAGAAGACAGATTATCTGTAGAAAGTTAATGCAGTGAAGTGAAAGTAATATATTGTTGCAGTGAGGTCTGTCTTTCACTTTTAATAATCAAGATTTGTGTAGTTTATTTCAAGACTGTTTAAAAAAACCCCACTAATTCTGGTCTTGATTGTGTTTAAAAGCAATAGGAACAATACCCTACTTGCCTCCCTAGGCAAAATTAATCCTGATTTTGTGATTGATTGCTATAAATCACCAAGACTTTTGTGAATGTCCCTGAGGTTGGAGGTAACAGGAAAAAAAGAGTTGTGCATTTTCTTTGGAGGACTGGTCCAAGTAACCTAAAATAACTTAGGTTTCCAAGAAGGAATCTGTAAAAAATCTGTTATAGATCTTTTGCACTGGAAGAGTTGTTGTCAAATAAAATTAGTGTCTAACTTAGAAGTCACTTTATGCTCCTTAATTTATTCTTAAACCATTGAGGACAGCATTTATAGTCCTTGTTCTCAACTGTTATTTCATGCATTAGGAATACAAGATATTCCTCCGTCATCTTGGTTATTGATTTGTAATATGCTGTATGATGTGACTTACAAAATTGCTCCACTGCATATTTTTAAAGAAATGTTTGAGGTCATCAAAATGTGTAGCTTCCTTGGAGTTATTTACTACCAAGGGGTAAAGGATCAAATGACAGGACACAATTACTTACAGATTTTCTATATATTCCTCTGATTCATCTGCTGTATCTGTGGAATCAATCAAAATTTGTCAGGAATGTTCAGCAATTTTATAAGGGTGTTCTTTTTGCTTGCTTACAGTTATTCTTGTTCATCTTCAGATGAACTGTAATATCCTTTTAGAAAATTGTTTCTGTGGGGTTTTTTTGTGTGTGTGTGTACGCACGGACTACTTTGAACCTATTTCCAAGGAGAACTCGGTGAGAGAAGCAGCTTCTCTCTTCTCTGTAACCTGGTCAGAAGTCTTCTGCGCTGTGTTGTGAACCCAGAAGCACAAGGAGATTTCTCTACCAGGGTTCTGACTTGCCTAGTGGATGAGTTTAGCTGCACTGGAATCCCTGAACTCCAGAGTGGTGTGTCACCATGTCAGTTGTTTTAAAGCCATTGCGTGTGTCACTTCAGAAGAAATGGAGGCACTCATAGGTTGTGTTTAGTAACACTTCATCAGTTATTACAGTTGTTATTCTGGTCTTTTCTTTTTGCAATATTCTGTTAAAGAGTACTCTAAATTATTTTTCCTCTTCCCTGCTGCACTTAGATTCAACAGAAGATACGTCCACACCAACAGACTCAGACTTTGGAAAAAAGAATAAGAAGGAACAGATAAAAATGTGGTTCAGCCCAAGAAGTAGGAAGATTCGATGCGTCCTGAACAAGAATCAGCCTGTGACTAAAAGTGAGGACCTTTGTGAAGATACATCTTCAATTTATGATTTCTTTCCTTCCCCTCCTCATAAAAAGCCCTCCAAGCCGCCAGAAAAGCCAGCACAGAGACAGAGTAAGAAGATGAAGAAGAAACGTCTAGCAGACATCAACAAAGTGTGGAGCTCGGAGAAGCCTGAGGAGAAAGGAGAAGTTGAGGAGAAGACTCCTAAGGAAAAGTGTGTGACCATCTGCAGTCAACCAGTAATCCTGTGCACTTCAGAACCAAATAGCCCTGAAGAGACACTTCAGGAGTCTATAAAGGAAGCGGTCTCCAGCAAAAATACAGAAAATGTGGAAATGTCACCACAGGTAAAATCCTCAGAGAAGAAAGGTAACAGTGAGGTTGTGTGTCCTGTGCAAGTCAGCAAGGCAAAACACTGTGCTACAGAGACATCACCATCAATAGAAAATGAAACTACACCTTTAAAACGTGGAAGGGAGCCATCCCAACTTCCAGATACTTCACAGTCTAAAAGACCAAGAAGAACTGAGGGAAGCATTATTGGGAAGTCAGGCAAGCAAGGAGATTGCTTAGAGGAGCTACCTCAGGGTTGCTCCGTCTCCCCAGCAACTGAAAACAAGACACCAGTTCAAACTTCTTCCTCTGTATCGAAACTCACTGACACCGTAATGAAGACAAGAAGCTCTGCAGTCTTTCAAGCAACAGATAGTCCTTCACTTGCAAAGTCTCCCTCTACCCCATCTACTTCTAAGACTTGTAATCGAGTAGGAATGCCACACAGTCCTTCTGTGTTGAAGTCCCCTGGTGGTAACACTATTGCCAGAAGAAATTACAAAGGAGAGACTTTGCTCCATGTTGCTTCCATCAAGGTAAGACCGTCATCTTCTAGTTCAACTTTAAACAGAGGTTTAAAAGGACAACGTTGTATTAAGAATATCCTGGTAACCAGTTACTTCAATACATCCTATTTCTTTGGGGGGAAATCTCATCTCATGGTCTTTTTCTTCTAGTTTTATTGTGGAGTTTCCAACCTGATTCTCTGGTTTCATAAAGAGATGACTATTGGAGTGGTCAAAGATGGTTATATTTCAGAAACTCAATGTATTACAGTGTCACTTACACCTATGAGTTCTAGGAAGTGATGAGCATTCAGATATTTCACCCTTATGTGCCAGAAAGCTATCTCTGTGATTTTTTTTCATAGTGAGTTTAGCTAAGTATTTTGGATCACATTGAGTGATCTTGATCAGTTTAACCTGGCTGGTAACTCAGCCAGGACAAGATCTGAATTATCTACATTAAGATAACTCTATGCAATCTTAATTAAGGTTAACTATTTCACCATCTTTGAGATTCTCCATCTGGTGCAAGTGTTAGGTCAAGGGAAACAAAAATGTTGCCCCTGGGGTTCCTATGCTGAGCCCTGTGCTCTGAGTACGCTGTCCTCACAGTGGTGGAGAAGGGAGAATCAGGACTGAGTTGGGATGTTCTCAGTAGACTTCACTTTCATGAAAGATCAATGTTCTTGGAATGATAGTTGTCACTCATTTTGCTGTTACTATCTTGGCCAGTTCCTGCTGTGGTAGAACTTGATGGCTGTGCTCTTTGCAAGGGCTGTCCTTCCCTATTACTGTGTAAAAGCTGTGTGCAGGTAGGGTAATTTGAATGTTTTCAGTCAAACTCGTCAGATGCACTAGTATTGCAACTCTCTTCTTCAGAGGTCATTACGAAAAGTTTGTAGACTGGCAATTTAAGTGTACTTTGTGGTAAATCATGGTGCAGAAATACTGTGTGGTTAATAAACTGCCTATGCCGGTAGAATTAATTCACCTGTAAGAATCCTGACATTTATTCAGCACTCCTATTTGTTGAGACGAAGGCTGTTATTGATAAATAACTGTGTCCTTTTTCAAAGGCATTCTAATAAGCCACTCCTTCTGCATGAGATCTTTTTAAATGGAAGTGGCAGCTGAGCTGAGTTCAAATACCTTCCTTGATGCCATTGGTATGGAATTAGGGACGAGAAAATGAAACACTGTCCTCACAGGGCTCAAGAACTTTAAAGGATAGATCTCTTGTTACTTCTTGTCATAAGTCCTCTATACTCCTCTTTATTAAAACACTGTTTACAAATTATCCTTCCATGATTTTCTGGGAATTTGGAAGGAATGCTGTCATGACCAACTGGTTCTAAAATCTACCTTGACAAGTTTTCACACAGTTATGGTTTCCAGCAATGTGTCTGATACTTCTTTTGAACACAACTATTTCATCTAAGAAAACAGAGCATCTCTGCTGCTCATCGTGAGACTTGGAGTGAACAGTGATATGCCAGTAAGGTGGTGGTGTGTTTTTTTTTTTTTCCATTGCAAAGCATTTTGAAAATAAATGAGTTAAAATCAAACAGCTCATGTTATAATCAAAACTTGTTTATTCTTTCTGTCTATCCAAGTTCAGTGGTGTGGCTGGCACTGCTTGGTGGTGTTGATACAACCCTCTGAGAAAGGGATAGGGCTGTTTCAGTGGGCTGAAAAGCTGACCTCCGGCTGTAGCATAGGTGGTGGAGTAGGCATACCCATGAATGCTTTTTTCAGTCTTGTGTGTGAATTCATTTTGATGTTGTCTTTTAATGTTTATAATTATTGAGCTAAAATGGGAAATGGCTTCTGTTCCTCATTAGTTCTGCTGTGGGTTTAATCCGTCAATTCTATTTGCATTGAGGTGCTCATTAGTAAAGGCTTGTTTAACTAGGTAGGGCTTCAGGGTGATTCCATAGTTACCACTGGCTTTTAAATGTAATTTAAATAAGGCAGTTTTTTGGTTATGGTCATAGCTTGCTTGCATGTATCTTTGTTTCCAGCAACTAAACATGCAATGCAACTCTGAGAAAGCTGTTTTACTGTCTCTGAACCTCAGTTCCTCAGCTGTAGGAGGAGGTTATATAGATTATCTCCTTTCATGGGTAGTGTTCTTTGTTCTTGTTAAATCTTGCTTAATCATGAGTATATTATGGCATTCCTAAGAAGTTGCTGCATCCCCTGAGAGCCAGTAAATGTAGGCACACTTCCTAATCCCTGTCAAAGTGGATTATAGAATCATAGAATGGTTAAAGTTGGAAGGAACCTTAAAGATCATTGAGTTCCACCCCCCCTGCCCTGGGCAGGGACACCTCCCACCAGAGCAGGTTGCTCCAAGCCCCATCCAGCCTGGCCTTGAACCCCTCCAGGGATGGGGCATCCACAGCTTCTCTGGGCAACCTGGGCCAGGCTCTCACCACCCTCACAGGAAAGAGTTTCTTCCTAATATCTAATCTAAATCTCCCCTCTTTCAGTTTAAAACTGTTACCCCTTGTCCTGCTGCTCCACTCTCCGATAAGAGTCCCTCCCCATCTTTCCTATGGGCCCCTTTAGGTATTAAATTCTCCCTGGAAACCATGTCATGGCATATGACACCCTTGTCTCTAGATTGGAGAGACACGGATTTGATGTATGGATAAGGAATTGGCTGGATGGCCACAGTCAAAAAGGTGTAGTCAATGGCACTCTTCCAGTTTTCTTTTATAGGTGATTTTTTTTTCTTGTTCTTTCCACAGCTAGTTATGTTTTTCCATGTGTGTAATGGGATACAGACTTGTAGCTGCCACCTTCCCCCCAAAGTGAAATAAAGTCTAATTCTCTGGGACTTCATTAATTATAAAAATACATCTGTATTATTTGCATTAGCTGTTAGGGTCTAATACCCTGAATTTAATTAAAGCTAATTGAGTTATCCCTTTTTTTCTTACTTAAAAGAGATAATAAATAACATTATCGGGCATTAAAATTAAGTTCATTGTGCTGTTTCAAATGATTCTGAGGGATTGTCTCTATTTGCTACTACTAGTTATTAACTTAGTGAAACCAAAATGGTTCTCAAGAAAGGTTCTAGTGCGGATGAACGTAATGTTGAGTTAAACTAATAATTGAAAATAAATTTGACTCTTCTCGTAGCGAACGCCAGTCATGTTTGTCTTCCTCCATAGTCGTTAAAGGTAAAACTTGTGATTAGTTAAAATACAAAATGTGACCTATTGCACTCCTAATATTCTAAACTGGTGGGAAATTGCCCAATCAATGGGACTTCCACATAGGAGGGTTTTTTGTTTTTTTTTTACAGTAAAACAACCGTACAACAAGTTGTTCACAAGGGCTAGCTCTTATATGGCAATTAAAAATGCAGCACAATACTACTTAACTGGTCAGTACATAGTCTTAAATCTATTGGGGAGAGAAAAAAAATAATCATAGTTTCTTGGTACAGTATTTCAGGTCTTGGTTGTGCCTCTGTGTCTTCTGCACTGAGAAAGGAGATGATGGGGCTGTTCACAGTGTGGCATCGCTGCCCTTGTGGGTTCAGGGAAGAGGCACAGCAAACTGCAACGCAACGGTGATGATGGCTGTGCTGTTACAGAGGTGTGGATGGGAGGTGGCTGGGAGAAGGTTTTTATTTTTATGCTTCAATTTAGAAGCAATTAGAGAACAACAGGGTGACAGGGGACCGTGATGATGGCCGTGCTGTTACAGAGGTGTGGATAGGAGGTGGCTGGGAGAAGGTTTTTATTTTTATGCTTCAATTTAGAAGCAATTAGAGAGCTGTCCCTGTTCCGAGGAGAGAATAAATTGCCTTTATGCAGAGCATCTACTGAAGGAGAGAAGGAGCATTGGGACCAGTTTTGGTTACCAAGGCAAGAAGGAGCATTGGGACCAGTTTTGGTTACCTCCTGTTGCAGGGTGACCCTTTAGTTTTGACCCTTGACCAGGAGGGACTTCATAAAGGCTTCCCATGGCTAGCCTGCTGGGCTGGACTCCTCATATTCATTATACTTAACACTGTAATAACTACTAAATAATTCCTTCTGAGCCTGTGAGACTGTTCTTCCTTTTTATTGCTTTGTTAACAGTTAATGACACATTAGAAAGGAGAACGAAAGGAGATTTTTGTGGACATGTGATAGCCAACATAAGAATTTCAGATCTTTTAGATCTTTTTCCAGGTGTCTGACCTAGTCAGCTGTGTGGTTCCTCGTGTTTGGTACCAGATGGGTATGTATCGTGGTTGAGTGTTGGGTGACACACGTACGTGGAAGGACCACCTTTAGGTGCAAGAGGAGGGTAGTGCTCCTGCACAATCGGACACTCGCAGCCTCCCTTGAGCAAAAAGGCAGTGGATGGACAGCATCGTTTCTGCCAGCTGCTTCACACTGAATGTATGCATCTGTTGGTCCAAGGTCTTTTTGTCCAGACCTCACGATTTTGTGTGGCGGTGACTTAGCTGTGTGTATAATATCTGTTTCACTGGAGAAATGAGATTCTGCTGGCAGAACTGGGCAGGATGACTCACCTGTAGGTGTAGCACCTGGGACTCTTTTGAGATTGTAGTTTGGCATTGACTCTAATGATACAGGAATGGTAAGGAGCCTTCTGATGATGAGTAGTATGCAGCAGGTAGCTTAAGACATATATAAAGCAGCGTAATGGTTCCAAATGCAGAACTTAAAAGTATGAAAATTGGCCCTGAGTCAAAGCAATCCGTCTTCCCAAGTGCTGATTTGAAAGCTTGGAAACAAATTGCCATTTCTTTTACAATAATGGTTGGTTGTTACTCCCCCTTGTTTCTGAGGTGGGTAAATCTTGAAGGTTTTCTTTTTGTTAAAGGTTAAACAGAGCTACTGGTATGCTTGTTAGTGAATAAATGGTCTGCTGGGTAGGGAATTAATTTAGAGAAATTTGAGGTGAGGAACCCGCTGGTTCCTGGAAAGAATTGGTTGGAGCATTTACAATTACTATAAGCAATCTGTAATTCATATTTGCCCTGACATAACTTTAACAAGCAAATGTGTTTGGGTTTGAAAATGGTATTTCTGTTCATTTATTTGACCTAAAATTGAAGTCACTTAGTTACCTTTGCAAATAAAGGGAAAAACGTTTGGTTGAAGTGGTACAGGTTTTCAGCTTCATCTTCATGTACTGCCTAATTCTTTGGATTTCTTTCTTTTGAACCGATAGAATATGTTTTCATTAACTTAATAATTTCAATATGTCATTTGAGTGGAAAATATCTGTAGTTAATGGAAATAGGTAGTAAAGGGAGTAAAATGGAGTTCCCCTCCCTATAAAATAGGGCTGGAAGGAGACTTAAAGTTCTCCTTAACCATCTGCCTGTGTTAAAATTGTGATACAATTGACCTGAAAAGAACAAAACAAAACAAAAAAACACCAAAAAAAGCAAAATCTTGTCTAAGCCAAGCAAGGATGGTTTTTTGGGCTTATGCCATCTGTGTCTGCAGGAACTAAATTCTCATTGGGAGGGAAGTGTGTGTTAGCTGTGTAAATACCCTTCCCTCTGTAAGCTAATGCTGTCTTTTAGATCTGCCAACAGATGGCCCCAATGCCTTTCTTGCTTCCATGGTTTTCAGAGCTCCCTTAAGCTGTAGCAGGAGGAAGAGCAAACCCATTGCATTATTGCAATGTCACTGTACATAAGCTTTGTTATGAGTTTAAAATGTCCTTTGGTTTGTTTTTGCCAAACAGATAATTTTGAATTCTGCAATAGTTTCTGCCTCTTCAGAAGCTGGTTGTAATCCTTCATTGGTAATGAGATTTAAAAATAAACACTTCCCCATGAATTGTTAATGTTAGCTTGTGTTTGTCCTGTTCCCTGCTTCTGAACAAGCAGTATCTCCAAATACGTTTCCACTCTGCTGGTGCTACAGACTGCTGAGACAAGCTGTGAGGGCCCTTCATCTTATCACCTGGTAGGGTTATAACTCCATATTTCAGCCTGGTAATTTTATGCTAGCATTGCTAGATTAAGTAAACTCAAGGGGCTGTTTCAGTACTAGTCAAAGCACAACTTGATGGAAAATGTTTGAATTAGTAACGTCAAAGCAATAGTTGGGTATAGATGTAGTCTCCTCTGCTTTCTTTCTTGTGAAGGAAATACACATGGTGTGTAGATATTTGTGGCTGAGATTTGCCCCTACCAGGTGCTTAGCCTTTCTTATTTAGAGTCAGCTTTATCAGCTTTTCAATGTGTGAGTAATTCCATCAACTCCGATAGAACTGGTCAATGTGTTAACTGCACTTTTTAAACTTTTGGATCACTATCAGATAATGGTGATCTTCTTGCAAGAGGGACCTTAACACGTGTCTGCTAAGGCTCTGCTTCTTGAAATTTAGTCTTCCTCTTTTTTTTTTTAACTAAATATTTACAGTATAGAGTACCTGACTGTAGAGCCTCTGAGAGGACAAAAGGCATGTTCTTCTAGCTGTGAACAATTTTGTTAACGTATCTCATCACCCCGATTTACAATATAGAGTACCTGACTATAGAGCCTCTTAGAGGACAAAAGGCATGTTCTTCTAGCTGTGAACAATTTTGTTAACGTATCTCATCACCCCGATTGACAGCACCCATCCAGTCATTGAGCAGTACAACTGGCACGACAGCTTCCCCTCCCTTTCTGTCACTCTCATTGCTAGGTGTTGCTTGCAGGGAGCAGGTTCCATTTACAGCTGAGGTGATGACAATGTTTTTCTTCCACAAAGAGCAAAATACCAATTTTCAAATTTTGACTTAAACCTGGATTTCATTCTGTGAATGTTGTCGATGTTGGTGTCCACACTGGCAACATTTCCTTTGATAAAACTGCAATAATCTTTTACAAATCAACGTTCACGTAACTGTTCTGAAAAGCTCTGTTACTCCCTAATGCCCACACAAATTATTAACTGTGCTTACTGCTTTAAGGGAATGCTTTTGAAATGTCAAACCCTCACTGTACATGTTTGCAAACTTAACTTTTAATGATAAGCTCAGATCTCACTCTATAGATAATTGTGTCTTCTCTCTGTAGAAAAAGATCTAGTGCTGAGCACTGTCTTGGCTGCCTCTGAGTAACTCTTCACATTTGATGCCTGTCTATTACTTTGCAACCATAAAGTATTCTAACAGCAGCATATTCATGAGTTGCTTTGGAAGGTAATGCTTTGCTGGGACATCTAGGATGTTAATATAATGCGTGGAGTTTCTCTGATATGTTAATTTGCTTGACTGTTGTAAAGCCATTTTTTGAGGGTGAATTTTGAGTTTACAGTTGTTGCTTGCTGGAGCAGTTTGTTTCCGCTGAGCAGTCTGTCTTAATTTTTACTAAAGTGTAAGGATTAAAGTTATTTTGTTTTTACAAAGTGTTCCTTCATAGTAAAAAAAAAAAAAGGGGGGGAGGGATTGAGGTTATTTTTGTTGTATTTAAAGCTTAATTTAATGTTCTCTCACTTTTTCCAAAGCGTGCTCTGGAGTAACCAGTTAGGAATTCCTTGATGTGTCACTACTTGAGGGACCAGAACTTTCTGTATACCAGGGATTAAACTTCTTTCCCTTTCCCCCCACAGATCCTCGTATTTATATATTGCAAGTTTGGGCAAGGGTTAGAGCTAGATTTGTATGTTTGTTTGTATATTAGTCCCTGTTGGGGATCACAACTGGGGAAAGTGCCAGCGGCTGTTTTGACATGTTTGGTTGCGTGGGGGATATCCTAAGGAAAAAAACAAACAAAAAAAAAAAAACAAAACAAAAAAAACCCAAACCAAAACAAAAAAACCACCCAACCCACCCCGACAAATAACATTGGGACATTGGTGGTAAGCCATGCAGAAACTCGAGGCCTATTATGCTAGCTTAGCCTTTGAAAAGCATGCATTATTTAGGTAGTTTTGGTCATTAGATGACATTTGGCAGCCTCCTTCCCTGTTACCCTGTCAGTTGAGAAATGGTGCGTAACTGCTCCTCGTCTGTAATAGTGTGGGGAAATCATTGCTGTGGCCTGATGCTGAGAGCAGTGGGACAGCTCTGCAGTACAAATGCCAGAAGCAGGAACTGGCTGAAATAGTCGCTTTCATAAAACAAAGTGAGTTTTATGTGCTGGGGGTCTGGTTGGTGCTGTCGAAAAGAGAAAGGAGTCAAGAGTAGGTTTGGTTTTAGTCTCTTTGGGTTACTTTTTCCACCTGCTTTAGGATGACCTGCACTGCAGAGGTTTCCTTGCCTCAGCTTCTGCAGGAGTCCTCTCCTTGCCTATTTATAGCTGTATCTGTATATGTTCCAAACTTATTACCAGCTTGCTCTCCTATATTTGCCTTTGAAGAGTGTCAAAATCTCTGATTCACAAGTTCTGTCCAGTTGCTTTCTTTACCCTATCTTTACTCAGCCTCTTCCCATAATCTCTGCATCAGTCTTCACCCTTTTCCACACACATTGCCTTGTTTATAATAAAAACTGAATAGAGTGTTCTTCCAAAAAGCAAATGAAGACTATTTTGGTAGAACAACTGTCAGAGAAAGTGTCAGTGAGATTCAGCACGAGTAGTAATTGCAGTGTTAAATAAAGCTCTTTCCCTTTTCCTTTTGACTTGTGGGAAAACAATTTATAGAAGCCTGTCAGGCTTATTAATCTATTTCACCTGTACACGTTCCTAGCCAGTTATTTAGATTAGTTTGAAAAAAATCCAGTCTGAAGGACAAGGAATTTCTGAATAAATGTTCCTGATTTTAATCCCTGCAGTTGACTCTAGCAGACAGATTTCAATCAGCAAATACTTGCCAGTTTATTCTGAGTTACGTCTTACGTGCATCGTTTTTATGTAAAAATATGTATTTGTGTAAAATGTGTAGGTGCTTCTAAATGAACAGTAATGATAAACTGTGGTCTCCAAACCAGTTGAGTTTTTGTTATCTTGACAATATCTAAATGGAAGACTTGTATCATTACATTTTTTATTGCTGCTAAATTTATAATTCTGCATCTCTTAAATTTTTGTTGTCTTTGTGTATCTTCTTCATGATTTATTAATAACTATGTTGTTTTCCTGTGTAGGGTGACTTAGCAGCTGTTGAAGAGCTGCTGAAAAATGGGGCAGATCCGAATGTCAAAGATAATGCTGGCTGGACACCACTGGTGAGTGTTGAAGACCTTTTTTTCTGTCATACATCTTCTGATCAGATTTCATTTCATCCCTTCTTCCCTCTCGTATATTTTAGTTCCCTTTACATGCATATAGGTGAATGCAATTGAAGAAGTGATGATAAATAAATTCAAAAGAATTTATTAGCAACTACTGACCTGCCCAAATCCAACTCTCCTTTGCTGAAGTAGGGCATGATAAGAAATCTGTCAGCCTGTGATTCTGCAATTGCAGAAAATGTAACTGTGATAATTAGAAAATGATCAATTGCAGACAATATGCATATTTTATGGGTTCTTAATGTCCTCAGTGATTTTTTTTTTTACCATTTTGGAAATATATCAAGTAGCTGAATCAAAAAATTGCTCATTTGAATTCTAGAAAATAAACAAAAGGTTCATTGCAACCATGAGTTCTTCCTCTCCTGAAGAATACTCTTGACAGAGTCGGTAATCTGGGAGGCTTTGTTCACTGTAGTCTAGTTTGCACACAGTTAGCCTTTGTTCAGTTTTTTGTGCTTTTTATTAGTTCCAAGGTTAATTCGTGTCAGGAACGTAATGCAGTTCCCCTTGCATAGTCTTCCCCAGCTGCTAACTGAGATGTGTTCAAAAATGAACTTACAAACTGGTGTGAGAGAGGTCCTTCCCCTGAATTCTGTTTCACTTGAGTTTTCTCTCTTTGCTACTTATGGATTTACCCAACTAGCATGAGGCATGTAACCACGGGCACAAAGAAGTGGTGGAGCTGTTGCTACAATACAAGGCCTTAGTGAATACTACGGGGTATCAGAACGACTCGCCGCTTCACGACGCTGCCAAGAATGGGCATGTGAGCATTGTTGAGCTGCTGCTTTTGCATGGTGCCTCCCGTGATGCAGTGTAAGTAGATGTGGGGTGCTCTTTTAACTGTGGCATTAGCTACAGCTCCAACTTCCAGGGTGTATGTTAAGTAAATATGAAGCAAAGCTAGTAATAAATGTGATTTATTTGAAGTGAGGAGGTGGGTATTAAATATATGCTCTGCTGTACTTGCATTCCCATTTTCCAGGTAGGTCTTTCCTTTCTGTTTTGCTTTCTCCTAAGCTTTTCTGAGGGTATCTGAGTCATAGCTGGAGTACTGGAGATTGTACTAGGAAAACAACAAAATATGCTTACCCTATTCTTACGCTTTTCTGCTGGCATCTTGTTACAGCTACTGTCAGATCTAAGATGCTGAGCTAGATGAGTTTTGAACTGCTACAGCTGGTTTTTGTCTCTTTAATTTTCTTACACTGCTTGCTAGCATAAGGTGTTTCTGTCCAGTCTCTTCCACCTTCATGAATGTCATAGACACAGGCTGAGATTTGGGAAGTGGTTTTTTTATTTTTTCTGTTTGGGATCAAAGCACTTGATACACTTTTTATTTAAAGAAAAAAAAAAGCTTAGAAATGTTTTCAGTTGAATCTTCTGTATAGTTATGCCTCCTGAAGATTTTGGCATTTGTGTAGAGGAGGTGCTAAAATACTTGTTAGTCTATGAATAACCCTGCAAGCTATTATTTCAGACACTAAATGTGCCTTTAGGTGTTGTGGTATTGTGCTGCTGCCTGTGTGTCCAAAGCAAGTTGTCAGTTGGGGGGTGTGTGTGTATATAGTAACACAATAGGATGAAGTCTTGCATGATGCATAAAGAAGCATAAACAAGTTCAGCTTAATCACTTCAGCTCTCAGTATTCACTCTTGAGGCTTACAGAATTAAGTTACTCTGTGGAAAAGCAATCAAAGCAAAACTCAAAAACAATCCTAATCTTGAATATGTTGGATCTAAAAATCAGCAAAGCGTCCCTCAAAACTTCAGCGTGAAAAAGTAAAACAAGGATCATTTCTTTGTGTTCACTTTGTTCTTGAACAACAAAGACCAGCGCGTTACACCTTGAAAGGCTGACAGCTTCAGAAACTAATTTTCAAGCCACTTGAATATTGGGAACTCACTGTGTGACACTTACCACTTGTCTGCCTGGTATTTGAAAGCATAGCACAGGCAACAGCTTTGATGGAAGGTTTTGACAGGAATGAGGTACTGGAAGATTTGCACAGCAGAGACTCCAAATGCCAAGAGTGGACTCTTCAGGTCTCTTAATAGCCTTAGTCGCTGCTGTATATGTGAGCAAACATGACTTCCTATTGAAAGAGAAACTTTTTAATCGTGGAATAAAAGGTGTATGTAACCCTTAAGCTCTGGCATAGCTTTTCACTGAATATAGGTAATGTTCAGTTGTATATTAAAACCATGTGACATAAATGTCACCAATCTGCAACTAGCTACCTCTTGCAGTACCTCCAAGTATGAAAAATGGGTTCTAACCCACTTCTAAGTATGCACTATTCTTGACTTAATCTCCAGGGTACTTAGAATCTCTAGTGTGTGATGCTAATAAATATATAGATTTTATTCTTTTAACTTAAAATCTCTTTGGGAATAAATTTAGCTGCCTTGAGTCTTTGTTTCATTTGGCAAAAGGAACTACAGGTGCTTTGGCAAAAATCCAGTCCTGTACCCACCTCCCTTTGGGGAAAAATGAGGCTTCCAAATCTTCTGTAGGCTCTCTATCTCTGGCTGAAATGCTACTGTGCACGTTACTATTGCATTGATGATGCAAAAAATTGGGATTTCCCCACACCCCTCCATTTTTACAGAGAGCATTAGAGACACAGAGAAAGGGATGTACAAGCAAAGTGTTTCGACTTGAATAGTAAGACTTCCCTGACCTTTTCCATACACTACCAAGAAACAACAGAAACAAGGAACTGTATGTCTGTTCCTCCCTCCCTTCCTGTGCCCTGCTGGCTTCCAGTAATGAATTGTGCTGTGATCTTTCCCTGGATCACGATTTTTGTAAATTTTACAGGGTTTTTTCTGTCACTGCTTCTGATAGTTGTAGTCCTAATTAAACAGTGGTTAGATTTGTCTAGGTAAGTGGACTTGAACCTTCTTTAATGGAGAAGGTTTAAATGTTTCTTTCTAGTGGATGCAGGTGCCCTTATAATGAAGTCACATCTGACAAGAAGCTTGCTTTTCTTCAGCCACATTTTTTCCTAGATCCCCGAGACCTGCAGACCACAGTTTTGAAAACGAGGTGAGAACAGGGTGATCACTTCAGATGGTGCAATTATAGTTCTTTTCAGTACGACTAGTTGTAATTGGCCTCTTTGTGCTTAATGCAGGATCTGCTCACCTTCATTTCATTATTGCTCTAGAATCTTTAAAGTAGAAATTGAGCAGTGATGAGCAGAGCTTGCATCTTTTCTCAGAGGTTTATTTTCTTTAGGAATATATCTAAGGAGTGCCTTAACTTTAGAGATATGCAGTGTTTGAGCTAAGACCTTACCAAACCAATTTTGCCAAACTGATAAATTTGTCTGATTTTAATTTGCATTTTTTTTCTGGGTATGAAACTCTTTCTAGTCCTTTTGTGGGCTCTTCAGGCTCTCAGTGAAGTAACTTTCAGCTCAGGAGAAGGCCTGCTTTATCCTAGCGTATTAAAGTGATTCTTCATTACCCCACAGGGATGGGGAGGAAAGTTTGATTAGTTCACTGTGGTTTCTTAAAGTCTTTTCCTTTAGCTAAGCTAAGTAAAATGTGAACATGATAAATGGATTCAAATGTGACTTGGGACACTATGAAATATACAGCATGACACCCCGCGAAAGTGACTGATGTCTTGCTGCTGTTTTGACCATAGAATTAACTCAGTTTTGTGTCTTAATGTCCCTTGTGTGTTGGAGAGTTAATCTACTGGAATAAAAACATCTCAGTGAAGTAACTTTCAGCTCAGGAGAAGGCCTGCTTTATCCTAGCGTATTAAAGTGATTCTTCATTACCCCACAGGGATGGGGAGGAAAGTTTGATTAGTTCACTGTGGTTTCTTAAAGTCTTTTCCTTTAGCTAAGCTAAGTAAAATGTGAACATGATAAATGGATTCAAATGTGACTTGGGACACTATGAAATATACAGCATGACACCCCGCGAAAGTGACTGATGTCTTGCTGCTGTTTTGACCATAGAATTAACTCAGTTTTGTGTCTTAATGTCCCTTGTGTGTTGGAGAGTTAATCTACTGGAATAAAAACAGAGCCTGTGTTGAATAGCCTGCTTAGAGCAGTAGTTTTGAAATTTAGTGTGGTACTCAGCTGTGCAAGATTGCACACCTTTAAAAAAGTATTTAATATTTACTGACTGTAGGCCCAAAGGTAGGTAAGATCTGCTGGTCTGTAGAGGGATGTAAGATATATCTGGGAAGAAACTGAGGTCTAAGATACCTCAATTCATGAGGCGCACAAATATTAGCATAACACTAGCCATCAGAGAGCTGAGAGTTTGCAATTTCAAATTTAGATTGTCAAGTTCACAGACCCATCAATTACATCTCATTCCAGGCTAGTTCTTTCTCCTTGCCTGTTACTACATAGTGCATTAAGGAGTAACTGTGTGTAAGATGAAGCAGCTACGTATCTTTTGGACCAAATGAACACAGATGAGAGCTACCTCTTTTGCCAGGAAGCACTCCCAAGATTTCAGTATTCCTTGGCAATTTTTTTTTTTTTTTTTGAAATCTGTAAGATTTAATACTTGTGGCACTTCATTTTGCCATTTGAAGTTTTCACTGGCTGGGAAAGATACAAACTACAAATGAAAAATATTATATGGACCAGTGGACCTATTAATTGTCCTGCTGGTCTAGTTAATTTTTTTTAGTTAATCTCCTACACATAGCTAATTTATATTTTTATAGCTCTTTTCATGCTCTCACTCTCTTGAATTCTGTCTTTTTTTCCTTGCTTCACAGCAAGTCAAGTGATTTGAAAAATTAGATCTGTGCATTTGCAATTTCACAGTGTTTCCTAAACGCTTTCACTCAAGTGGGCTATCTTGCCAGTTCTTCATGCGCAATACGTGCAGCATTAGTAAAAATTGTTGTGTTGCCCTATTTCTTTAGGTGTTAGTTGTCTTTGCTCAGTTGTGAGTCAGATTCTGCAAGAAAAACCTGTGTGAATGCTTAGGGATAGACAGCGGTCTTCAATTTGAATAGCGTAGGGGCAAAACCTGTTATAACCTGCAGTTAATTCCAGGAGGCATTAGACCCATGACACTGACATCATTTTGTCTGCTTTGTCTAAGTCAAGATAGTGCAGGGCTTTGCTGTGTAAGTGCAAGACAGCATGCTTAACTTCCTGCTGACAGCAGGTTAATTAAAACCCTGGCCCTGTTTGGGTATCTTAAGACAGTCTTTCTGGCTCCACAGATTAAATGTTTTTTCTCCTTCTGTCAGGTTCAAAAAAGGTTTCTGCTCACTGCAGCCTCGGAATACGAGCGCTGAGCGGAGAGCCTCAAACTGGTCACATTTCCCTATGGGAATGAGTGGATGCAGAACTGCAGTGGGACCTGGTGGTGGGGCTTCCCTTCAATACTGAGCTCTTTTTGTGGGGCTGGGGTAAAACTTGGTTTATACTCAGCTGTGGAAGGGAAAAAGGGAAAATAACTTGTGGTGTCAAAGTGGAGCAGCTTAAAACTCCTGATTACAAAGTATTATATAGAATCATAGAATGTTTTAGGTTGGAAGGGACCTTCAAGATCATCCAGATCCAACCCCCTGCCCTGGGCAGGGACACCTCCACCAGACCAGGTTGCTCAAAGCCCAGACCAGTCTGGCCTTGAACCCGTGCAGGGATGGGGCAGCCACAACTTCTGTTCCAGTGCCTCACTTCTCTCAGAGTACAGAATTTCTTCCTAATGTCTAATCTAAATCTAAATATAGTCATTGTTTGCTTGTATCAAAAGCTGTGAAAATTTGGGGCTTCTGAAGAATTGACAAGGGTGTGTCTCCCTCTGGTTGCTCATTTCCTGAAAGTTTACTGAAACATTTAGAAGGTAACTGTTAAGTTTCTTCTTGACTACAGCAGTAACCCCTGTTGTCTGCGTACCTAAGACTTCAGCAATGTTGCACCATAAGCTGAATCCAATTTCTAAATCTTTTCATAAGAAGTTCTTTGATCTGTCAGTCCTTAAGATACCGTCTTGTCATCTCGTGGAAAGTCATACTTGGCAGATTGCATCAAGTTTCTCTTCATTGGACTCACCTTTGTTCTCAGCTCAGGCGTCCTGCTCTTTGATTGGAATTTGTTCTAGCTGTAAGAGCCCTCTACTGACTATTCAGTACCTTGATGACTGACTAAGAGGAGACTGCTTGCATCAAAGGATACATCTGACTCTTGAAGGTTTAAAACAACTCGCAAAAAGCCCATTTGCATTCTGGTAGGAAGAAGTATGTCTGAGAGACCTTGTATTCTAGCTGAAGCACCAGAGACACACTTGTGTCTTCTTTCTGAGTGTGGAACTTGTCCCGTTAAGCCTTCACATGCGCTGGACCCGTTCTCAACAAACCCACACCTGTAGTAGGAGCACACAAACAGAGGTATTAATATTTCTAAAAATGCCATGTTTGTGTGTTAGGGTGGACCTAATGTGCATGTCTCACTTAATTTTGTTTTGCAGACTGGATCAAAAATCAGTTTTTAGTCTGAAATGAGGTGGATGATTTCACTTGTTCAGTGTGGCTGAGTAAAGACAGATTTGAGCATGCGTTTTTGCCAAAAGCTACTGTTTCCCAATCTTGTGCCTTACTGGTGTTCTTGTGGCTGCATAGCTCTGGTCCTTGATGCTGATCATAGGGTGAAAAATAATAGATATTCTTAATATATTAAAAACAGTTTCTTGAGTAACTGCACTGCTAACTGTATCAAACCAACAAAGACTGGGCAAGGTCTCTTTTTACTCTTCTTTACTTTTTGGATGGTTAGTGGGTGATTAAAAAGAACAAATTCAATTTTCATCCTTTCTCTTTGGAACGGATGTGTAAATTACAGCAATACCATAGTTGAAATCTGTTGTTAGGATGTGTTCCTTGTCTCAGTTTTTATTTTGTAAACCCTCTTCTGTTTTGGCTATTTTTTTTTTCCCTTAAGCTCAACAAGCTGCTTTGTTGCAAATATTGAAAAGTCTTAAGCCCATCCCTTGGGCTGGTGTTCCTTTTTTCAGGTCACATTTTACTTTAACTGTGCCAGCCTTAACATTCTATGAATAGCCATTAATTCTTCAATGCTGCATAATGACAGGACAGCATTTTGTAATACGCTGGTAAGAGGCAACTGAAATGATCTTAAAAATGCAGAAAAAAATTTTAAGTGACTACAGAGGGAGTAGCTGGAGCTCTTATTTGTATAGTTTAATTGGCAAAAAATGTTAAATATTTCACTGTGATGGCCTATGTATTTATCTATGGTAAACATTCATGAGGCTTTTTCCAACAGTCAAGGATCTTACTGTGACTCCCAGACCTCTGCTACTGGCAGACAGTGATTTCCTCCCCCTGCTTAGTTCACAGGAAAAGGTCAGCCAGCTAGTCTAAAGGTGATTTTAGTGTATCTGCTAATATTTCTCCCCCCTCCACCTCTGGATGTGTTGTTCAAAGGAGCTCTGTCCTGCAGCAGTTTGAGTGGAATATGGCCCTTATTTAAAGAAAGGGCAAGAGCTACCCTGATGATGCATGACAAAGCAGGAACAGCACGACAGTATTTAATGGGCTGCAACTCCCAGGACTGGGGCTGAGATTTAACCAATTATCTTTTAGTTTGCAGAATTTGTATTATGCGAGCTCTTCGCTCATTAGGAACTCAGAAGAGCTTGGGGTTGGTAATATTGTAGAATTAGCAATTGTAAAAAATACCATCCCAGAATCTTCTGTGTGGGATTTCTGTGGATTGTTGTTTTCCCAAGAGGCTCTGTTAGTGAGCAGGGCTCAGTCAGGAGCACAGAAAGGTGCTAAGGTCAGATGCATCTTTGAGCTCTACGCTAGCTGAAGCCCCCCAGTTAAGTTGAAGTGAAGACTTAGTGATGGGAGCTTCTCTTTGGGCTGCATTGGGTTATGGCCTCATGTGGAATTCCCTATAAAGCTTCCTAGATTCCTACTCTGTGTGGCGAAGTAAGAGACAGTACTTGGAAGATGCAGTGGTTTTTTGACCTCTTTAAATGTTTCATTGCTTGATGACTAAGCTTGCTGGATTTCAGATACAGACTCAGGGCTTTGTTCTCGGTGACAAGCTTCCCCTTCTTAACGAGCTCTTCTTATGCCTTTTGAGAGCCCCAGCTCCATGAGGTGGGGAGAAGAGGATCAGCTGGAATAGCCATTATTTCCACAAAGGGCAAAGCAAGCAGAATATTTCCCCAGAGTGCTGGGAGAGGATCGTGTTCGTTAACAGCAATTACACCTGTTCTGCAGTTTCAAGCTTTCCTCCACTCGCTGCTGTCCTGCAGCTCCAAAGTTGTGTGGAGAAGAGATGGAAGCCAGGGCTGTGCTGGATGGTGTCTTTATAGCAGATCGTATCTGTCTGGGTAATGCTGAAAGAATGGGGGAGGAACAGAGATAGAAGGCAGGGCTGTGCTGGATGGTGTGTTTATAGCAGATCATATCTGTTCTGGGTAATGCTGAAAGAATGGGGGAGGAAATGGGTCTTGAAGCGTATCTAATAACTGAAGTGCCACATAGGATGAATAGTGTTCAACAAAATGGGCAAAACAACTAAAATTTGAATGAATTGGCTGTAACGGGTGCTGTAGAACAGCACGCTGAGGGAAAATGAGATGCATACTCAAATTTTGGAAGTGCGAGGGAGTCGCAGTTCCCAAGGAGGAAGGAGATAGCTTTTCCCATAAAAGCATAACCACATCAAGCTCCGATGTTGAACACAGGGTGTTGAATCTTCTGACATGGCTTTTATGGCAGATGGGTAAGCCAAAAATACGTTTATTTTTTTTTTTCTTGGTTATATGACTGCCATCAAAGATTAAAGCTGAAATTTCTAAAGGTCCTGTGAATGATAACAAAGTGAAACAGTTTAGCAAGGACTGTGGTTTATTTAACTGAACACACTGCTCTGAACATCCCTTACTCCTCGGTTGAATGCAGCAGCTTGTAATTCAGTAGCCATCTGTTTTAGACACAATTCTTACTTGAAGCTTTGTGGTTTTTAGCTGAAATTACATATTAATAAGAAAGCGGGAGGGAAAGCTACCCAGCTAATGTGCCCAGTTAGTTAAGAATAAAGTCACATTTTATTTACTTAAACCCATCTGTGCTTGTTTTGCCAGTAATATATTTGGTCTGAGGCCTGTGGACTATGCAGAAAGTGAAAAGATGAAGTCTGTGCTAATGTTACCAGTGAAGAATGAATCATTTTCATTTAACCAACCCTGTGAGGTAAGTGTGTGTGGCTTTTTGTTTTCTTTTGCTTGTTAAAAAAACATAATTTTATCTTGTAAATATTGAAAGCTTGGACCTAAGTACAGAACATCACCTGCCTTTACAGGGAAGTTTTTTGTTTTCATTTGCTTTTTAAAAAAACCATAATTTTATCTTGTAAATATTGAAGGCTTGGACCCAAGTACAGAACATCACCTGCCTTTACAGGGAGATTTTAAATAGGCTGGGATACTAACTTGGACAATATTTCTAGAATGTATGTGGGATGCTTATGAGCTATGATATTCTGTGTTATCATAGCTTTATCTGGGAAAATAAAGGATGTTTCTTGTAATGTGGCTTTATTATAGGAGAATGAACAATATAGTATTCCTGAAGTATTGGTGATTGAACACGCTGTTGTTGTTTTCTGCGTATTTAAATTTGTTCTATTTGCTGAACTGGCTGAAAGCCGCAGCAGTCTTTACTCCAGGTGCTTTTTGTGTGCTTTTAAAAGGCTGTTCCAATATTGTCCTTTGTCCAACAATGAAGATACCAGCTCAGCAGTTGAAAGCAGCTTTTTGAAGATTATTTTAGGGGTTTTGTTTTTCCCCCCTTTTTGCCAAATACTTCTCAGGATTTGTGACCAAAATCACATTATTCAGACTTCATGCTTCCTAAAGAATGATGGTTAAACTCAAGCAGTCCTATTCTACTCCAGGTTATACAACCTGTTGTGATCCAGTGGGTAATAAGATACCCACTGGCCAAAAGTAAGCTCTTGGAGCTAAATCAGCAAAGATATGACTGCTCCTCCCACCTGTAGCAGATGTAAGATGCAGCTTTTCTGTCCCAAACAAAACATTCACTATTTACAGTTGCTTTGGGATGAGTGTGTGCTGGTGGATGGTTACCAGCTCATATGGATGGCTTGATCCAAAGCTTTAGGGTAATGGTCTCAAAGGTGTGTCTCTACTAGGGAATCTGGAAGTACTTACAAAGACCCAGGAGCTGAAGTAGCACATCTTTGTCAGCATAAGACTTTAGCAAGCAGCTCCTCCTACTTTGCATTAGTAGTATCTGCATAAAAAAACCTTAAATACAGAGCAATGTATTAGAGGCATTTTTAGTAAAAGGACATGCAGGTGTTGAGTTATGTAGGTTACTCAACATATTGGTAGTGAATCTGTTGGTAATACTTCACTAAAAGTAGGAGGGAAAATTTTTTTCTCCTTCGAGTCAGCAAGGCTGTTTACACAATGTTTGACCAGCTGTGTGTGTGCACACCAGTGTCTTAATAAAAAAAAAGGCAAAGAAGAAAAAACCTGATGCACAAGCTGGTTTGATACCTTTCACAAGCTGAATGAAGTGCCTCTAATATCTAGTTTTTTTTCCTCTAGAGCTGTTTTGTTATATAGAGATTTATTTGTAGACCCTGTCCACTAAGCTTGCCGTGAATTGTTTTTCAAAATGCTTATTCTTTATTAGATACACCTGTCAAACAAGTTAGTTGCTTTCTTTATGTTCCCAACCATTCAGTTTACTGTAGAACTTTATGTTCATGCAGGCTCCGAGCCCAAGCCAGCAAAGAGATGGACCTCTTGTTATACTGGGGAGCAATCTTACTTCGGAGCAACAGAAACTGCTGATCAAACTGGCAACAGTTCTGAAGGCTCAAAGGTGTACTGAATTTAACAGCAAAGGTATGCAGTCTTGTTGAAATGTCTCTGTCCAGATATTAAGTAACTGCAGTTCTACACTTCTGCCTTTAAGATAGTAGCTGCAAGAGCTTTTTGTCGCATCTAATAAGTGCAATTACTGAAATCCTTGAATTATAGCAGTAGTGGAACGATGGTGTCTTGTGTTGCATGTAAACTCATAAAGCCTGCCTGGTTACTGAGGCAGGAGACTTCTGGAGAAGCCACTGTTTGACAGTATATTGTCTGTTATTTAAAATCTGTAAGTTCTCCTTAAAGACCTCTTCTCTTTATACTTCTTTTACCAAGGTCTCTGCTCGTATGAGACATCCTGTAAGGCTTTAATGTTGCAGAAGGGAATCTTAGGCAGATGGTGCCTTTAGAAAGAGCATGTCACTGACTAAAAGTTGACAATTTTTTCCTCATGTGCTACCTTCCTTCAAATTTCGCTCTTTATTAAGAGGATGGAGCCAAATTATGTGGCTTTTTTTTGTTGTTGTTGTTCCCTTTTGAGGGGGATCACATTGTCTTAATCCTTCCTATTCATTTTTCTTTGGAGTGCTTTTCCTGCTTGTGAAAGAAATGCTCAGGTAGTTTTACCCTCCCATCTTTCACACCCTGATTAATACTCCAGAATTCTGAGTTGAGTTCTGTTAGCTTTGTGTTAAAGTAGTGAGATTCCATAGTAAGATTCCTGTCAGAGTTAAATATAACTTTAAAAGGATTGGAAAAATGTACTATCCTATAAACCAGAACCTCTTTTGAAGTTTTAGGTGTTAGCTTAGAACTATAAAAGCATGGTTTCCCTTTTTCATAGCAAGTATATGTTGGAAACCACAAAACTTCTAATAGTGCTTCCACTTACTCGTATCTTAGTCTCAAAAATCAGATACTTGTGCTGGAAAGAGTGGTTCATAAATTATTATAGTCTGTTTATTTTTTAAATGGTGATTGGTTGCTTCTTAGCCAGGCATGGCTCTGCTTTTTATGTGCTTTTACTTCTACTGATGTAATCTTTCTCCTAGTAACTCATCTTGTTATCCCTGATGCTCCAATGCCAAGAACTGTCAAATGTATGATGGCTGTTCTGACTGGATGTTGGGTCCTCAAGTTTGAATGTAAGTAGAAAATATATGGGATTCTTCAAGCTTTGTAACCAGAAATTGGAGAAGGAATTCCAGAGAAAATTTTCAACAACTGCCCTAGTATCAGTACGATCAACATAAAGTTGTGAGGGTTTTGTTTTTTAATCTCCTGAATGACAAGAGATTTAATTAAATACAACTGCCCCTTCCTTGGCAAATGTGTGCATTTCATTATTAGAAGTATTGGGTAGGTCATACCCCAAGTGTCAGTAGGAAGTGAATTTGTACATGGCTACATTAAGAGGGATTTGGAAAATGATAGAAAATATCCTGGGAGAAGAGGAAGGAATTTGTTAAATTCTTGGATTTCTTAGAAGCAGCTTCCATCAAAATTGATAGGAAACTTTTGCTTGCTTGGGGTATGTGATCAAGGCCTGTAGGAAGGCAAGGTGTTGCTTATTTGCTTTTATTTTTATTGCTGAGATCTGTTGAAAGTTACAACTTCTAACCAAAGTTATACTGTCAGCTGCTCATAACCCCTGTTTGTACTTTCCACTGAAGTTCTCTGTTTGTTGAGAACATTGCCAGACTTCATGCAATCACAGGCTCAGGCAGATCAAATGTATAATACAACTTTCAATACTCATTTCTGTACACACGAACCCTGCAGACTGGAGTGCTCTTCAACTAAAATAGTAATTTCCAGGGAAAGATGATTGCATAGCATGCAAGTCCTCTTGGCATGCAAGTAGGTTTGATGTCATCTTTCATGCAATCTGTAATTAGTTTTTTCTACACTCTGTGCTTTTTCTATACAGAGCTGTTCTTTGGACTTACACCCCAAATTCTGTTTTTTATTTATTCATTCTAATGTATTTCTTAGTATCTGCTTTCATTGTAGTTGTAAAACCCATCTTCTTCCCCTTGATCTTTACAGCTAAGTCCTTTTAGCTAATAAGTACACTACAAATGAGTTAATTATCTGTGGAAAACCGACAGACAAATTTCATTTCAGTTTTCTACTGTGTGACTAAACATCAGAATATAAGGATTCTTTAAATTTTCCAGTAACTAATGTTTTTGAAGGCACTGCTTAAAGCTTCAAAAGATGTGTAGTAATTTTTCAAATACGGCACATCATCGGACGCTTTAAACATGGGACTTTTTTTCACCAGTGTTCATTTGGTTCCCAGGTAGTCAATGGACTTGTTCTGTGCTTTTTTTTTTAAAGGGTCTGTTGATTTGGTGCCCCCTCAGAAATGTTTTCTGTAACACCTACGGTGGCTTCTGTTTCTGGCCTTATGAGCGTTTCCGAAGGAAAAACATTGTCCCCTCTCTGTGCTGTGATTCCTCCAAATAGGAGTAGCTTCTTGTTGAATATGTGACATGGAGAAATACTGTTTCTGCTTAAGCAAGCAGATGGATTTAATAACCTCCAGACACTTTGTTGATAAGCACAAGGGAGATGGTTTCCTCTTTGGAGGTAGGGTTGCAGCAGGAAACTCAGAAGGCCCAGAGGCGATGTTTGGGTTGTGTAATTGGAAGGGGTGTGTGCAGGTGCTCTGAAACAGGATCCTGAAGACTGAATAATATTTTTTTCTGCAGAGAACTGCTTCAAAGGTTCTTGGCTTCATTCAGTTCAGGAGGTCTGCTTACCTTCCATCATACGTGCTAGGGTGGTTTTCCTCTACTTCATTTTATCTTCTTGCTAATCAGATGCTTAGAAGGCTAATGTTGCCAGTAAAGGTATGTAGCTTTCTGTAGCTGAGATTTAATTAGTGAGACGTGAGTTTAAATCTTTGTGGAAGAATTTTAATATTTATAAGTGATTGGAAAAGATAAAATAAATAGAATAGTGTGGGGGTTATTCAGGGAGTATTTTCGTTGGGTTTTTTTTTTTTTGTTTGCAGCTAAGTTTTATTTTATGTTGTTAGTACTGATTAGTACAATCCTCGACTGCTAATGCTCCCAGCTTAGTAAGCAACATACTACTTAAAAGCGAGTGATTCTCCTCCCTAGTGGGAAATGTTAGTAATAACTCATGGGGTCTGATGCAGCTAAGTGCCTATAATTAACAACACCACTCCATCTGTTCCCACCAGTCTGTTATTAGTCTTCTTCAGAGTCATTACAAGTTAAAGATTGTTATAACAAATAATGGGACTCCTGCTGATGGAACATTTGTCTAGGAAAAAAAGAGGTCTTTGCTTTTCCATAATTTCTCTCTTTATTTATTGTGGCTTTTTTGACTAGTATTTGGATAAGTTTCCTTAAATGTTATGCAAGTAAACTTCCAAATGTATGTGCATATTCTGACTTAGTTCTGTCAAAGCCACCGGAAATAAATTGAAGGAATTGCTTATAGTTCAGTGTTCTAAAGTGTTCACTTGCAGTAAATTCATGTTCAAAAACTTTACTGAAAAATTTGAAAAAACAAAGCTTGATGTAGCACTTAATAAAATGCTGACTATGCATAAGTGAGCATTTGAATTTTTTTTTACTACCAGGTAAGCCGCATTTGACTGTTATTTCTAAAGTTGTATTTATAGCCTACACTTAATTACACCACTTTTTTCAAAAAACATTGCATGCTTGCAAAAAACAGTATTTCATTTGAGAGTATTCAATGAGTATTTCATTTCTTATGTTAACTCTTCAATTACAGCAGGCTTTCAAGCTGTGATTTTCTAATAAAGAGCAATTTTAATCTCTTGTATCTACACATGTGTCTATACATACAGATACAGCGTCCATTAGTATCAGTAGAGAGAGAATGTGGAATTTTCCAGCAGAGTTTGAGCTAAATGTAGGGCCTCTAAGCATTAGAGAGGCAAGATTTAAATATGTGTCTTCAGTTTTCGGGTTTCCTTTCGTCTTCAGGTAGAAGATTAGGATGAAAGGATGTTATCACTGCAAGATGGTATTATTAGATCTTCACAGAAGAAAAATTTCACCTTAACCAGTTGCAGTTCTTTATTTTCCATATATAACACACTGTCAGCAATATATCCACTTTCAAAGCAGCACAGAATTCAATTGAGACACTGTTGTCACTGTGCTCCTTGCCCTTGGCCATATCTTTCATTGGTTTCATTATTTTATTGCCCTCATTATTTCTGGGACAGTAATAGGGCACAAAGCATATCGTTATCCTTCTGCAAGCAGGCTGAGACAAAGATTCAAGCCTCACTGTGTTTTCTCTGTGCTTTTCGTAGAGCATAGAATAGTGTGATTAAACCCAAAAATCTTTAATAAGCTCTTCAGCTTGTTTTTTTCTTAAACTGATTGTCGTCTGTTAAAGGAGGGAATGAAAAATGATCTTGGAAACGTTAAGCATTGAAACAAGCTTGTGTCAGTCTTTGCAGCAAAGCGTCTGGCAGAATTCTAAGCATCTGATTGCTTATTCCTTCCTCTCTTTTGCTTACGTGGAGCAGCAGCAGCAATGATTCAGCTCTGATCATTTAAAGGAATGCAAAAAAACCCCCTGTTTTTCCTGTAAGGAAACTGGGAGTTGACTGGAACGGCTAGAGGATTGCACGACTGACGTTTCAAGGAGAAAAATGCTTTCTGAATTTCTTGGAACAATATGCCCATCCTCGTTTAGGCTATTAGACAAGGGACGTGCAAAGCTGTTTGAGCTGCTTGTTTCTCAAGTTTGGACTGTCTCTCTTCCATGCATAAACATCTTTTAGATAACAGGCTGATACTCAGCAAAGCCCTCCCTCCTTAAAACAGCTCAAAACTTTTGATCACTGGAGTTTCATGCTTGTTTTCCAGCTGGAGACTTGCTTCAACTGCCCCCCTCTACAAAAGGCAGCTCTGTGGGAGGTGGTAGAACTATCTAGAGGTAGTAGGACTACCTAAAGTGCATGCACATGTTCTTGTTGTATTGGGTGTACAGTGGAGGTGGTTCCCATCAACAGGGTCTGAACCTCTGAGCTCCCACAGTGTCTGCCCCTTCTGGAAGTGAGGAGTGAAACAGTTTTGCATCAAACTTGGCGCAAGTTTAGACTGAAGCTGCTGGGATTTGCAGAGGAGAAAATGATGGTGAAGATGTCTTCAATCTGGTGTTTGCCTTCGCAGAATGGGGAAGTGGGCTGGTTTGAAAAAAGGTCTAGAGGAAAAGGAAACCATGCTTGCACTGCTCTTTCTGTTCTGTGTTACCCAAATGTTCAGTTTATCATATTTAGAGATTCCTTTTGTTCCAATTCAGTTTTGGTTTGAAGGAAACCTTACACTAAGGAAGCCCATTCTGAGGCAAAGGATGGGGAATATCACTACTTCCATTTAAAAGCATGTAAGAGGATCTGGAGCAAGGATGAGCATTCCAGTGGAATTTATCCTGTGCTCTGCACCTTAGGAGTTGCTGCCTCCAGTCTAGAAAACATCTGTGGCAAATGCTGGTTTCCTAAAGGAGATAGGACACTTGGAGGTTTAAGTGAAGTAATGATTTTCATATTACATGCTGCATAAATAGAATAGTGTGGGGGTTATTCAGGGAGTATTTTCGTTGGGTTTTTTTTTTTTTGTTTGCAGCTAAGTTTTATTTTATGTTGTTAGTACTGATTAGTACAATCCTCGACTGCTAATGCTCCCAGCTTAGTAAGCAACATACTACTTAAAAGCGAGTGATTCTCCTCCCTAGTGGGAAATGTTAGTAATAACTCATGGGGTCTGATGCAGCTAAGTGCCTATAATTAACAACACCACTCCATCTGTTCCCACCAGTCTGTTATTAGTCTTCTTCAGAGTCATTACAAGTTAAAGATTGTTATAACAAATAATGGGACTCCTGCTGATGGAACATTTGTCTAGGAAAAAAAGAGGTCTTTGCTTTTCCATAATTTCTCTCTTTATTTATTGTGGCTTTTTTGACTAGTATTTGGATAAGTTTCCTTAAATGTTATGCAAGTAAACTTCCAAATGTATGTGCATATTCTGACTTAGTTCTGTCAAAGCCACCGGAAATAAATTGAAGGAATTGCTTATAGTTCAGTGTTCTAAAGTGTTCACTTGCAGTAAATTCATGTTCA